CCTGGGTTCAATCCTCAGCATCAAAAAAAAAAAAAAGAAAAGATTTATTCTTCTTTCTGTATAAAGCAAGGTTCTTTTTTACAAACGTGTTTGTGTGTTTATATGTGTAGGCACATGAGTGGAGATCAAAGGACAACTTTCTGGAAATGGTTCTTTATTCTATGTGGAAGAAACTTTGAGTTTCCATCAAACTCAAGTCATCAGGTTTGGCAGCAAGCACCCATACCCATTGAGCCATTCTGCTGGTCCAAATATGGATTGTTGTAGCAAACTCCAATCCCTTCACAGAGCTGTTGTGAAGCAGTCCATTTCTACAAAGGGAAGTTCCTACTCTCACTTTTTTCCTTTTTTGTTTTTTAGGACATGGCCTCCCTGTAGCCTCATCTGGCCTGGAACTTACTATATAGACCAGAGATCTGCCTGCCTCTGCCTCCTGAGTGCTAGGATTGAAACCAGACATGAACCACCATGTCTGGCTTTATCCTTTTTTTTTTTGGTCTTTTGAAATAGGGTCTCTTTGTAGCCCCAGCTGGCCTGGAACTCAATATGTAGACCAGACTGGCCTTAAACTCACAATCTGCCTGCATCTGCCTCCCAAGTGCTGGAACTATAAGCGTGTGCCACCATGCCCGGCTTTATCCTTTCTTTTTTAAAAGATAAAAAAAATATGTGTATATGTATGTGTAGTGTGTGTGTGTGTGTGTGTGTGTGTGTGTGTGTGTGTCTGTGCACATAAGGCTTCAATTCCCATGGAGGCCAGAAAGTGTCAGATTCTATGGAGCCAAAGTTACAGGTGGTTGTGAGCTGCCTGATATGGGTGCTGGGATCCAAACTCAGATCCTCTGCAAGAGCAGCAAGTACTCTTAAAAAACGGAGCTATTTATATTTTCTTTCTTTCTTTTTAAAGACAGGGTCTCACAATATAGCCCTGGCTGGCTAGCCTGGAACTCCCTCAGTAGACCAGGCTGACCTCAAACTCAGAGATCCTTCTGACTCTGAAGTCCCACACTGAAGGCAGCGAGAGACCACACCAGGCTTACCTCGCCTCTATTTCTTGAATGCTAGGATCACAGGCATGTGCCACTTTTGAGTACTGGTGATGGAACCCAGGGTCTTACACAAGCACTCTTCACCTGAGCTACATCACCAGCCCTGATTTTCCCCTCTGACAGACATGGGATAGAGGACTCCTTTTCTACTATGAGAAAACAGTGTGAGTGTGTGGTCAGGCCTCTTACACCTCACCTCTTTCAGATGTTGGAAGTCCAACAGGTTGTATATCTTTTAAAGGGTGGATGAAGGGCCAGGGCTGCAGCTCAGTGGATAGAGTGATTACCTAGCATGCAGGAAGCCCTGGGTTCTATCCTCAGTACCAAATAAACCCAGCAGTTGTGCAGCACACATTTATTTATTTATTACTTTATTTATTATTTTATTACTTTATTTATTATTTATTTATTTATTTATTTATTTATTTATTTATTTATTTATTTATTTATTGTCTTTTTAAGCCAGGGTCTCCCTGTAGCCCCAGCTGTCCTGGAACTCACTATGTAGACCAGGCTGGCCTTGAACTCACGGAGATCTGCCTGCCCCTGCCTCCTGAGTGCTGGGATTAAAGGCAAGCGCCCCCACGCCTGGCGAATTTAGCTTTTTGTTGTTGTTGTTGTCTTTGAGACAGGGTCTCCTTATAGCCCCAGCTGTCCTGGAACTCACTATGTAGACCAGGTTGGTCTCAAACTCACAAAGATCCGCCTGCCTCTGCCTCCCAAATGCTGGGATTAAAGGCATGTGCCACCACGCCCAGTGCAGCATACCTTTAATCCCTGCACTCAGGATGTGGAGGCAGGAGGATCAGGAGTTCAAGGTCATCCTCAGCCACACAGGGAGTTCAGGGCTAGCTTTGACATGAGACCTTGTCTCAAAACAAAACAACCTACCCCACTAACTGAAGGAGTGGATGTTGCTTAATCTCTCCCACACTTGTAAGGCAGTTATGTGAGCTCAATAGTAGCAGGTGTTTTTGTGTTTTCAGGGGTCAGAATTTAAGTATTTTTTGTAGTTATCTTAATCCCCCCCCATGGCGAAAGGTTTATCATAACTCACATTTCAAGGATGCAGTCTATTGTGCTGTGGAAGGTATGGCAGCAGGAATGTGAAGGGGCTGCTCACATGGCATTCACAGTCAGGAATCACAAAAAGATGAATGTCTCCTAGGTTTTGAATATTGGCTTAAGTTGTTATCAGGAAGCATCCTAGTCAAATGGGTTCACTGAGGTCCAATAACCACCAGCTCTTGGTCCTCTCAAAAACTCCTTTTTGGAGCTGGGGCAATGGCTCAGTGGTTAAGAGCACTGGCTGTTCTTGCAGAGGACCTGGGTTAGGTTTCTAGCACCCACATGGCAGCTAACAAGCATCTGAAATTCCAGTTCCAAGGGATCCAATGTCCTCTTCTGGCCTCTGTGGGCTTTGCACACACATGGTGCATTTACATACACGCAGGCAAAACACTAATAAAAAATATAACATAAAATAAAGAAAAATGTCTTTTTTTAGTTTAATAATGGTTTCCTGCCAGGATTTGAGGTGTGAATATTGGAAGGACAGAGGGAAGGACAGCATATCTCAACACTAGTGCTAGGATCCCAGGTTCATGGTAGGTTAGTATGTAGTCGAGGAAGACAACCTCCTGTGTACTAGGCTTACAGGTGTTCCCACCTCACCTAGTTTATATGGTGCTAGGACTCAAACCCAGAGCTCCATGCAAGTGCTCTACCAACTGAGCCCCAGCCCCTCACCATGGTTATTAACAGTCACAAAGGGATACTGCTCACCAACTCAGAGGCTCTATACAGAACCACCTGAACTACAAGCTGGTTCTGAGGGCTAAGCTGCATTGGGCAGGTGAGGCAGGTGCTCCCAGGATATGCCCCGAAGGGAGATGGCACTGAGTGACTTTCTCACATGGCAGCTGAACTGAGTGGGAAGGCTGAGATGACCTTGAACTTCTGAACTTCCTGCTTTCAACCCCTCCAGTGATAACAGGGGTACACACCTCCATGCTCAGTGTACTTGGTGCTGGAGGTGGAACCCAAGTACAGTAAGGCACCCTGGTTCAAGGAAGGTGAGGAGTGGTAGAACACAACACTTAATGTCCTCCTCAGGCCTCCTGTGCATGTTCACCACATAGGAACACTACACACACACACACACACACACACACACACACACACACACACACACAAATTAAAAGCAAAACCAACAAGAATATTAAGAGTTGTAGGGGCTGGAGAAATGGCTGTGGTTAAGAGTACTGGCTGCTTTTACAGAAGACAAGTTTGGTTCCCAGCACCCATATGGCAGCTAACAAGTGTCTGCAACTCCAGTCCAAGGGGATCCAGTCCAAGCTCTTCTGGCTTCTATGGGCACTGCATACATGTGGTGCACATACATACTGATAAAGTAGCCTATGGATGAATCCAGTTGATCCGGAGAAAGCACCAGGACACGGAATAAAGTTTATTAGCAAAGGAACACATGGTGGGACAGATTCCTTTCTGTGCAGGGAAAATGTCTGTCCTGGGTCCTTTTTAAGGGGGAGGCTTCTGGGGGGTGCAGAAGGTGGGAAGATATAGTTTTTTTAAAGTTGGGGGGGGAGGGGAGAGCGGGACTGTTAAAACCTGTCCTCTTTAGAGATCAAAGGGGAAGCCTGCTGTGTTGGCCTGCTTCTCTAGACTTCAAAGACCAGGGTGCTTATCATCTTGGTTCCCTTTTCTCAAGGGCTTATGAAGTCCCTGAGGCCCTGTTGGTGAGAGGGTGGGGCTATCTGAACCTTAACACATACATGGAGGCAAAATACTCATATTCATAAAAAAGAAAGAAAAAAAAGGCTCACACAGGGAGATGGGGTCTGACTATGATCAAATACCAAATACATTGTATAAAATTCTTAAATCAATGGGCTGGGCATGGTGGCACACACCTTTAATTCCAGGCAGAGGCAGATATTCTGTGAGCTCGAGGTCAGTCTGTTCTACATAGTGAGTGCCAGGCCAGCTGGGGAAGACCCTGTCAGAAAAAAACAAAACCAACAAAACAAAACAAAACAAAAAACCACCCAAGAACAACCATCACCACCACAAAAAAAATCAACAACAAAATGACAACCCCCCCACCCCAAACCCATTACAATCCTTAGCACTGAATAAAGAGCCCAGTTGTTATCTTTTTTTTTTTTAAAAGCCTGGGTCTCGCAGGGCATGGTGGCCCATGCCTTTAATCCCAGCACTTGGGAGGCAGAGGCAGGTGGATCTCTGTGAGTTCAAGGCCAGCCTGGTCCACATAGCAAGTTCCAGGTCAGCTGGGGCTACAGGGAGACTCTGTCTCAAAAAAACCAAAATAGGGGCTGGAGAGATGGCTCAGCAGTTAAGAACACTGGTTGTTCTTGTAGAAGACCTGGGTTCGAATCCCAGCACCCACATGGCAGCTAACAACTGTCTGTTAAGACCAGTCCCTGAGGATCCGACATCCTCTTCTGACCTCTGAGGGTACTGCATGACACGGGTGTACTTACCTACATGCAGGCAATACATGAATACACATAAAATAAAAATAATAAATAAAAAATTTTTAAAAGACCAAAATAAACAAACAAATAAATAAATAAAAGCCTGGGTCTTGCTCTGTGGCCTACATTGGCTTTGAAATCACAGCCCTCTTGCCTAAGTCTTCCTGGTACTGGAATTACAGGAATGGACCACATCCCAGATTTCCAGTCTGTACCCTGACCAAACATTGGACTTGTGTCCCATGTCCAATACTGTGGCTATACCCAGGGTCTCAAGCTCCAAGTCTACTCCTGAGAGGGGACAGGCTGTGAGGCTGGCAATGGAGCTGCCTAGTATCGGAATGACCAAGCAACAGGTACACTGTCCCAAGCTGAACTTGCCCTGTAGCATAATGCTACATAACCAATAGAGTAGAATTATTGGTAATAAAGAGTGAGGCCTCAAGAGAGCAAATTCTTTAGTTTTCTGTTATTTCCACAGTGTCTTCCTCCAAGGCCATCTACTAGATAAATACAAAGGAACACTCCTCAGCTAAATGGCTTTGTCTTCCCATGCCCACCTGACAAAAATGGTGTGGGCCAAATCCCGAGAAAAATGGCAAGCTTTCAGTAACATTTTTTTTTTTGCCATAAGGATGGATGCTGGGGATTGAACCCAGTCCCTTTGCAAGCTAACACTGAACCACTGAGTTACCTCCTTAGCCTTTGCTGACCACCTTCGGATCCTTGATCATACCCGGGGTTTGGGGGAACATAAAAAAGACACATTTCATACAAGCCCCAACAATCATTCTTTTGGCAGCTGACAACAGGTCATATTGCACGATCTAAAGGTTACAGAGGGAGCGCCCCAATGGTACCACCGTGAGGCAGTGGGGGCAGACAGATCTTGCTCAGGGCTTCGGGATAAAAGCAGAGCAAGTGTCCTGGAAGCTGACATCTGGGAGACAACTTCTAGAAAGAAGCAGGCCCCCAGGGGACTCTGGCAAGCAATGTTTCTGGTTTTCATCCCGGGTACTGTTCCATAGGGAGGGGTGTGTAGGTCACCTGCCAGGCTAGATGGGTACCAGAAAGGTCAAGGGGACCCAGGGAGAAGCAGTCAATTCACTCCTAGACCAAGGTGCAAAGGAACAGAAGTGCAAGTTTCTTGTGGTCCTCTCCCTTCCCTCCACCGATTAAACACGAAAGCCGATGAAGATGAAGATGAGAGAAAAAATGATAAGGAATGTGACGTCTCGAGTCTCATCCCATCCGAGTCTCCTCTTGGCCTGGTCCTCCTGCTTTTTGCGAAGGGCCTCCCTGCGGGCCCGGAGACGCCGCTCTCTCTCTAGCTGTTCTCCGTAGTGCGCCTGGTAGAAGGCGTCAAAGTCGAACATGGTGCGACGAGGGTCGCCAGCGCGAGCCCGAGCGGTGGAGGGAGGAGGGCGGGGAGGAGCCGGGTCAGGCGCGGGTGTTCTCGACGGCCGGACACCAGGTCCGCGCAGGTCCTGGTCGCTGAGCAGACCTCGGTCATATTTGCGACGCAGGGTGGTGCTGCCCAGGATCAGGTACGCTTCGGAGATGCGCGTGAAGCGCTCGGCGGCCTCGGCGCTCCCGGAGTTGCGATCCGGATGGTAGAGGAAGCTCTGCCGGTAGTATGCCGCTTTGATCTGCGCTTGCGTGGCCGTGGAGGGGACGCCCAGCAGCTCATAGAGGGCAGTGCTGGAGTACAGGCCGTCACTCCGGGCGTGAGTACTGGATCGCCGGCCCAAGCCCGCGGCGAAACTCAGTGGCAGTCCCCAGGCTCGCTGGAACCACCAGACATGTAATAGCGGCCGCCATGGGCCGCACGCGGCCGCCATTTTGAGCGGGGGCAGGGCGGCGGTGGGCTGGCCAATGGGAGCGGCGGATAGTGCGCGCCGCGGCTGCCCTATGGCCAATCAAGTAAGAAGGAAGGCAGGGAAAAGTTTAGAGTTTGCATTCTACTTGGCGTCCGCAGATTGATGACGTCAAACCGTCCGCTCGCACCCGCCTGCTCCAGCGTGCGGTTGGGTCCTAGAAATGGCGTCTCGCGGCCGGAGACCGGAACACAGCGGACCGCCAGAGCTGGTGAGAGCCCTGAAAGCCTTTGTCTTCTAGAATGACTGCGTGTGGATTCTTCCCTCCATCTTCCATGTCTTTCTCTTCCCGACAGTTTTATGATCAGAATGAAGCCCGGAAATACGTTCGCAAGTGAGGAGAACCTGGCTATTACGCGGCATCGGGAATCGGAATACGCAAGTGGCCCTGATTGCGGGCGTCGCTTAGAAAGCATGTAGAATTTGGGAGTGGGGAATAGGAGGGACTTGGGTCGATGCTGTTTCTGCCACTGGCAAAGCGAACCCATGGAGGGTGAGGCCTTGATACCTGTGTACCAGTGTGAGTGTATCCATCTCCAGTTTGCACTAGGTGGTTTACAAACTGAAATGCGCCAACTTGTTTTGAACATATGGCAATGTAGGCAATGAGCAAATACCGCGGAGCTACGCCCCCAGCCCCTCATTGAGACTCCTAGGCGAGTGCTCTACCGCTGAGCCACGCCCCCATCGCTTTAGCCTTTTTTTTTTTTTTTTTGAGATAAGGTTATGCAATGATCCCTGAGCTGTCCTGAAACTCACAGTGATCCTTCTGCCTCAGCCTTCTGAGCACAGACATCATAGACATGCACTACTAGGCTCTATGCTTCTATTTCTTTTTAACCGTGGCTACTTGAGAACCATGAGGCTTTACTAGGGGTGGTGGTGCACACATTTAATCCCGGTACTTGGGAGGTAGAGGCAGGCAGATCTCTGAGTTTGAGGCCAGCCAAAGCTACGTACCTTGTCTCAAAAAAGAGAGAACAAAAAAAAAAAAAAGAGAGAGAAGAAGAGAGCAAGACAGACATTTCTTATGGACATCAACGTTATTGGAATTTTTTGTTTTTGTTGGTTTTCTGATGCTGCAGATGGGACTCTGGGCCCAAAGCATACTAGGCACACACTCTTTACTACTAAATACTACCTAAGTATGACCTTTTTGTTGTATAGTGAGGATTGAACCCAGGCCCAGTGCACATTAGGCAAGTGCTCTCTTACCACTGAACAACATCCTTGATGCTCACTGTTGGTTATTATATATGACAGCAAATATGGCAGATAATTCTTTTGAGAGAATATGTTCCTAAGGAATAAAGCATGAAAACCCAATGGCATTATAAAATATTTGCCTGGTGATCATGAGCTGAGTGCCTTCTCTTTTTATATCAGTTTTGCAGCTGGTGTGCTTGCAATTTGTGTCACAATCAAATGACCTGCTACTGTGTGATGTGGACTTGGGGTACCACTTTGTTGATGTTGTTTTGAGATAGGCAGGGTCTTGCTGTGTAGCCCAGGCTGGACTCAGACTCTCAATCCTGCCTCAGCCTCCTGAGTCTTGGGATTGTATATGGGCTTGCCCATTATAGGACCATGTTAGATGAGTGCATTTGAGTTTGTTGATTTCAATTTAGGGGTACAAGTTTAAAATGTTCAGAAAGTAAAAATTAAATATTTTTTAAAAGGCAGGGGAGGTCGGAGGGGAGGTGCTGGAAAGATGGCTCAGCAGCTGAGAGCACTTGCTATCCCTTCAGAGGGCCCAAGTTAGGTTCCCATCACTCACATCAGGTGGCTCCCAACTGCCTGTTACTTGAGTTCCAAAGACTCCTGCACGTGAGCACACATACACACGCACGCAAATAAAAAGAAAATAATTCTTTTTTTAAAAAGTTGCTGGACCAGGCATGGTGGTGCATGCCTTTAATCCCAACACTCAGGAGGCAGAGGCAGAAGCAGGTGGATCTCTTGAGTTTGAGGTCAGCTTGGTCTGTGTAGTGAGTTCCAGACCAGCCAGAGCTGCATAGTGAGACCCTGTCTCGGCAAAACAAAAAACATAACAACAACAAAAAGTACCTCTGGCTGGTGTTCCTTTTTTTTTATTCTCCTGACTCTTTTGGTCTAGGAGTAATGCTGACCCAGAACCTCTTTACCAATCTCTGTGTTTTTCTACCTTCCCAGCTCACGGATGATTGACATTCAGACCAAGATGACTGAGCGAGCCCTGGAGCTCCTTTGTTTGCCAGAGAATCAGCCTTGCTATCTCTTGGATATTGGGTGAGGTCCTGGGGCTCCAGGTTAGGTTATCTAGGTGGGGGTACATTGTCTTTGCCCCTCAGCACTGTGAGCCCCTGTCAATGGTGTCTTCCAGCTGTGGTTCTGGATTGAGTGGAGATTACATCTCTGATGAGGGGCACTACTGGGTGGGCATCGACATCAGCACTGCTATGCTTGGTAAGTATGCCCTGTTCTGCACCAGCGTGCTTTCCTCATGAGCATGGAACAGCTGTACTGGATTTTTGTTTAAGACGGAATCATGTTATAGCCTGGGCTAACCCCACATCTGGGGCGTTCCCCTATCAGCCCCAGTTGCTGGACCCGCACCTGTCTGGAGCAGCTGCCCTCACATTATTGCCTCCCATCCCTTTCTCCAATGTAGATGCCGCCTTGGACCGAGACACAGAGGGAGACCTGCTCCTTGGGGACATGGGCCAGGGCATCCCTTTCAGACCAGGCTCCTTTGATGGCTGCATCAGGTGAGGCTCTTCACTTCCTTCTGTGGGCCAGTGCTTCCTGAGCCTGGCTGTGTAGCAGTCACAAGGGTCCTGAAAAATACACATGTTCTGGGTTTGGTGTTTGGAGGTACTTGCCAAGCCTTACAGCTTGAGTTTTATGTCCACACAGTGGAGGGAGAGAGTGGATTCTTGAAAATTATTCTCTGACCTCTATACTCGTGCCACTGTGCACATGTGTATGCACACACACCATAAATAAGTTTAATTAAACAGGTACATATTCTAAGATTTTCAGATTTATAGGATCAGAGAAAGATCAAAAATAGTTGTATGTGTATATGCACATTCTCATGTGTGTGGATCTACATGTGTAGACAGAAAACAACTTTGGGTGTCAATCTTTGGATAACCTACACTTTTTGTTTGAGACCAGGTCTCATTGGTGGAACTTTGCCTCATAGGCCAGGCTAGCTGGCCCATGAGCTTCTGGTGATCTGCCTAGCTGCCTCCAGTTTCCTATTGCTAGGCACTCTGAGCCTGGTTCTTTGTTTTTTTGACAGGGTCTCACTGTGTGTAGCCCTGGCTGGCCTTTGCAGTACCAGAATTAAAGGTGTGCTTCATCATGCCCTACTTTTTAAAAAAATTTTATTTATTATTTTTATTTTATGTGTATGTGTGTATTGCCTGCATGTAGGTGAGTGCACCCGTGTTGTGCAATGCCCTTGGAGGTCAGAAGAGGCTATTGGATCCCCTGGGACTGGAGTTACTGACAGTTGTTAGCTGCTGGGATTCAAACCTGGGTCTTCTGCAAGAACAACCAGTGTTCTTAACCGCGGAGCCGTCTCTTCAGTCCCCGCCCCACGTTTTTTAAAATGAGTTCTAAGATCTTAAGTCTTCATGCTTGCCAGGCAAGGACTTTTCCAACTATGCCTGCATGTATGTAAGTGCACCACCTGCCTGCAGTGCTTATGGAGGCCAGAAGAGGATGTTGGATTCCCTGGAATGGAGTTATGGATAGTTGTCAGCTGCCATGTGGGTGCTGGGAACCAAACCCGGGTCAGCTCTGCAAGAGCAGTGTTCTTAACTGCTGAGCCATCTCTCCAGTCCCCTGTTTTATTTGTTTTAATTTCTAAAGTATACTCCTGTGATCATCTTGCCAGATTCAGCTACTCCTGATGTGGTTTCTCTGTCTGCGTTGTGTGTGGTGGGGTAGGCTGGAGTGGTCAGTGAGCCTCTAGGAAGCTGTTCTCTGTGCCCCAGCAGCCATGCTGTTTTTCCTCATTTCAAACAGCCTTAGTGGAGAATGTCTGGAACTGCATTCATCTTTTTATTGACTTCAGAGTTATTTCTTGGTTGTTAGGGTTAAATTTTGAACACAGTACTTTAATAGCAAGTTTTGGATTACTGAAATTGCGTTAGAAATATGAAGTTTTAGGTGGGCAAGACTGCTTACCAGGTGAAGGTGATTGCCACTAATGCTAAGTTCAAATTCCCCAAGACCCACATGGTGGAAGGAACTGATTCCCATAAGTGTATACCCACTATGGCACTCACATGGTCTGACCACATGTATGTCATGGCATACACATATACACAAAATAAATGTAATTTAAAAAAAAAAATCTTTTTTTTTTTTTTTTGGTCTTTTTGAGACAGGGCCTCCCTGTAGCCCCAGCTGTCCTGGAACTCACTATGTAGACCAGGCTGGCCTTGAACTCACAGAGATACGCCTGCCTCTTGTCTCCCAAGTGCTGAGATTAAAGGCATGTACCACCACGCCCAGCTTAGCCTATCTTTTACAAAAAAATTTTTTACAGCCAGGCATGGCTAAAGATAGGTTTAGAAGAGGACCCAGGTTCAGGTCCCAGCACCTACATGGTGACTCACAACTGTCTGTAGCTCCACTTCTAGTTCTTCTGGCTTCCACAGGCATTGAATGTGGGTTATGCACTTGCATACATATAGGCAAAGTACTCATAGACATAAAACGAAACTAAATAAGTTTTATTTTAAAAGGAGAGAAATATGCTGCGCTTGGTGGTGCCGGCCTTTAATCCCAGCACTCAGGAGGCAGAAGTAGGCAGATCTCTGTGAGTTCAAGACCAGCCTGGTCTACATAGCAAGTTCCAGGCCAGCTGGGGCAACAGGGAGACCCAGGTGCAATAAGACAAAAAAAAAAAGGTGGGTGGGTGGGGTATAAGTGTTACATACTTGTAATCCCAACACTCAGGAAATAGAGGCAGGATCAGAAGTTCAAGGTTATCCTCTGCATATGTGTTTGAGACTAGCCTGGGTTACATGAGACCTTACCTCAAAGTAAGAAAGAAGAAAAGAGGAAGGAGGGAAGGAAGGAAGGAAAGAAGGAAGGCAGAAGGGAGGGAGGACCAGGCATGGTGGTACACACCTTTAATCACAACACTCAGGAGGCAGAGGCAGGCGGATCTCTGTGAAATTGAGGCCAGCCTGGTCTGTATAGCAAGTTCCAGGCCAGCTGGGGCTACAGAGACACCTGTCTCAAAAAAAGAAAGGAATCTGAAGTGTTTGTTTTGTTTTGTGTCGTAAAGATTAGTCAGAGGCCTTGGTCATGCCAGGCCAGTGAGGTTCAATGGCAGGTTGTGAACTGAAATGGTGAAGGGTTGACCTGAAGCAAGGATGTGGGAACTGCCAAAAGTTTAGGATCCAGAGATCCGAAAAGCCTTAATGGATACAACAGAAAGAAGTAATGCAAAAGGGTGGATAGGTGGCTGCCTAAGTGCTGTGTAGAGGGTTGCCTTTGATGGAAGGGGATGAAGGTGTTGGTGGACTGTGTAGACACAGATTGAGATGTTTTCCTGGGATGAGTGAAGCAAGTGAATGTTGCCCTGATTGGTCCTGTGCTGTAAAGAAGTGACTGAGAAGGGCTTAGTGACTGGAGAGATGACTTAGTGGTTTGGAGCACTGGCTGCCCTTGCAGAAGACTCAGGTTCAGTTCCCAGCACCCACATGGCAGCTTATAACTGTCCATGACTCCAGTTCCAGGGAATCTGATGCCCACTTCTGGTCTTTGCAGGCATTGCACACAGGTGGTACACTTACCTATATGCAGGTAAATCACTCATACATATAAAATAAAAATAAGAAATTAAAAAAATAAAAGAAGTGACCGAGAGTGGACCAGCCCTCTGCCAGGTGGTAGCTATGGACAGCAGATCATTGTGGATGATGGCAGAGTCCTGAAGAGACAGAGATGCCAGTTAGGGAGGACATCAGATCCTCCCCACTGGGCCCCTTCCTTTGGACATTGTTGCCAGAGTTCTCTCTGGGTCTCTTGCGCTATCAGGCAAACCATATAACATATCTTTACATGCATTTATTATTATTGTGGAGGGGGTTTACAAAGAAATGAGCACCCAGTGCCTAGCTCTGTGCTGCTCAGTTTCATGCTGCATAGCTCTGCACCGTGGCTCAGAGCCCGCCATAGCAGACTGCTCCTGTGGCACGCCCATAGTCACTGCTAGCTTTCGCCCACGCCTCGGGCCAGTGGTCTCACCCCAGAACTATAAATGCCAGGCCATTCTGTCCTTGAGCGTTCCTGGTGGCTTGGTGGCTCCTGTTCCAAGATGGTGCCACAAGTCCCTCCTTCCAGGGCTAACTCTCCACAGTCAATTCTCCGCAGCAGGCCCCGCCCCTTGGAGGAACCAGAACCCGTGGGGATCACAGACGTCCATCCCTCCTGACTGGCCCCTTCCTTTGCAGCATCTCTGCTGTGCAGTGGCTCTGCAATGCAAACAAAAAGTCAGACATCCCTGCCAAACGTCTGTACCGCTTCTTTTCTTCCCTGTACGCTGTTCTTGTGAGTATGAGTTCTTCTTTCCCCACAGGGCTGGTTGCCTGCCATTCACTGCCCTTCAGGTTGAGTGATGAAGTTGAGAGGTCTGGTGATAGGAAGGCTGCTTAGATAGCATGGTGGGACCTTCTTGGGGTTTCCCCTGTTCAGGCTTGGCTGGAGGTGGTGATAGACAGCCTTAAATCCTAACACTTGAGAGGTGGAGTTTTGGTCCCATGGAGCTTTGGTGTGGTTGTGACATTTCTCTTGCTTACAGGTCCGAGGGGCCCGAGCTGTCCTGCAGCTATACCCTGAGAACTCGGAGCAGGTGAGCAGGCAGCAGGAGGGCAGGGCCAGAACAGCCACCCTCACAGATCAAGGAACCTCATGCGGACTGGTGGAAAAGAGGGGAGGAGCACCCTAGTGAGGGTCCTGTGGGCCTGTATGGCACCTCTGAGAGGAGCAGTGTGTAGGGAGGTTGGCGTGTTTGTGGTTGAGATGCGGCTGAGTGGTGGAGGGCTTGTCTAGTATGCATGAGGACCTGGCCTGCATCCCCAACACTGAGGGAAAAAAAACACAAAACAGATCCTGTGGTGTCACAGAGAATGTGATGTTTGAGGTCACTGTTTCCATAACCTGACAGATAAGTGGTGGGCAGGCAGGAGGACACAGTAGTCCTGGTCTGTGGGGTGTGACTTAGGGATTAGGAAATCCCAGTGGCCTGCTGTCCTTGATGCATAATAGGATTCGGGCTGATCCAGCTGGAGGCCATTCATTTCCAGAGGTTGGAGTGGGGAGATGAGTCCCTGGGCTTACAGGATTGCTTTGTTCTGTCACTCCCCTACCCAAGCTGAGATGTGATAGCCTGTTTTCTCCCTGCTGCTTTTAGGGCCTCCTGACTAGAAAGATCCTGCTAGAAAGTTCATTAGATTCCCACGGGCTAGAGCTGGGGTACCTTGTGCCCTCTTGCTGACACCTGCTCCCTTCCCCTCCCTTCTCCTCCCCTCTCCTCCCCTCCCCTCCCCTCCCCTCCTCAGTTGGAGCTAATCACCACCCAGGCCACGAGGGCTGGCTTCACAGGGGGTGTGGTGGTGGACTTCCCCAATAGTGCCAAAGCAAAGAAGTAAGTGCTGGGGTGGGGAGGTGGCTCAATGGGTAAGGGGCTTGCTGTGCAAATAAGAGGACCTGAGTTTGATCCCCAGAACCTGCATAAAAAAGCCACACAGGGACTGGAGAGATGGCTCAGCAGTTAAGAGTACTGGCTGTTTTTGCAGAGGACCTGGGTTTGATTCCCAACACCCACATGGTGGCCAACAACCATCTGTAACTCCAGTTCCAGTCTTCTGACCTCTGTGGGCATTGCATGACACAGGTACACATACATACATGCAGGCAATCAATACACTCATACACATAAAATAAAAATAATAAAAATTTTTTTTTAAAAAGCCAGGCATGGTGGTGCACACCTTTAATCCCAGCACTCAGGAAGCAGAGGCAGAGTTAGGTGGATCTCTGAATTTGAGGCCGGCCTGGGAAATCAGAAAAAAATACCAACAACCAAAAACCCAAAAGACAGACATGGTAGCTCCTGCTTATAATCCTATTACCAGCAAGGCAGAGACAGGTGGATTCCTGGGGCTAGCTGGCTAGCCACCTTAGCCTAGATGGCCAGTGAGAGACCCTGTCAATAAATGAGATGGACAGTGTCCTGAGGAGCAACAGCTGCGGTTGACCTCTGGCTTCCACATATATATACACACGTGTACACGCGCGTACACTTACACACAAAGTGAGTGCTGGGCCCAAGAGCTCCCCCGGCTTTGTTACCTTTTCAGGTGGTTAAGTGGACAGAGGAATGCTGGGTGGTAGGTCAGGGCCAGGACTCATCTACCCCCAGCATTGTGAGCTGGGCTTCATATTGCCCTATCTTCTTTCAGGTTCTACCTCTGTCTGTTTTCAGGGCCTTCAACCTTCCTGCCAAAGGTAAGGGAACTAGGCTTGTAGGCTGTGTCTCATCTTCCCAACAGAAGAGCATGCTAGGAGGGCCATGGTGGTCAAGGTTCCCCAACCCCACTCCCACTGCACAGTTATCAAAGACTTCTGCAAGTCCAAGGACGGAACGCCAATGCCTTGTAGCCTGGCCCTTGTGCCTTGTAGAGGGGCTTCAGCCTGGGTGCACAGGGTTCTGGGTGGGGCGGGTGGGCAGTGAGCTCCAGGATGACTTCTGAGCACTTTGATTCTTACAGGGGCTGACTGAAAGTCAGGATGCACACCAGGCCACTGAGTCCACATTCACTAATGAGAGGTAAGGTGCGTAGGGTTGGGCACATTCTTTCAGCTTTCATCTGAGCCTTGGGTTAGAAGCAGACATGGCATGAGGTGGTGTTACATCTTGATGCCTCTCTTAGACTGTGTTGCTCCTGCCTCGGCCTGGGTGCTGGGGTACCCATGCCACCTTGGGCCTCTGTGTGAGCCTGCACACACCCTTTCCCACACTTGGTATGCTCCTGCCCCCCTGGGCCACCCTCAGTTACATCCTGGAGCCCAGCCCTTCCTGGCTCCTGTATTCCTCCCTGCGCTCTCCTGCATCCCCATCTCTACTCTCTGGAGTCGCTCTCCTCACATGCACAGCTCCTCAGAGACAGAGCACACATACTCAGTCTGGTCAACATACCCCTGCTTACAGAAAGCACAGGGCAGGTGGCTATGGTGGCAGGGCAAGGGACCTCTACAAAGAGGTCCTCTGGAAACATTAGAAGAGTCCCTAAGGCTCCCTGGGGAATGGGTGGAGAAGCTAAGAAAGGGCTAGAGGGCCAAGGGGTCGGGAGGCCTGAGTCAGGATGGCACAGGATCCTCCCACTGGCAGGCCCTCCAAACTTACTTGTTCTCAGCCCATTTTCCCCTAAAGTATCCTGAACATCTAAAACCTGTGGCCCATATGATTTAATTTAAAATATTATTGGGGATGTGTGCCATGATGTACCTATGGAAGTCAGAAGACAACTTTGGGGAAACAGTTCTCTACTTCCACCTTCATGTGAGTTCTGGGGCTCAAACTTAGGTCACCAGGCTTGTGCAGCAAGCACCTTTACCCTCCTGTTCTGTTTTTATTTCCTTCTTACATGGCAGGTGTCCCTCCAGAGTTCTCACACATTCTTCTTACTTGTTGGACTCCCCATCTCCTTGCCCCCCATCCCCACTTAAATCTGTTTAAAAGGGGAGTGGCAGCCAGGCATGACCCAGGCTTATAATCCCAATGTTCTGTAGGTGGGGAGGAGAATCATGAGTTCTAGGCTAGCTTGGGCTATCTAACAAAAGTTTTTGGCTGCCATCTCATGTCCGGCACATGTCTGTCATCTCAGCACTCAGGAAGTTGAGGCAGGAGGATTTCAAGGCCTGCCTGGGCTACATGTTGAGACTCAGTTCAATGCCAGTACTGGCAAGAAAACAAATGGGCAAGTTTGATAAGGGTTCACCTTCCCTCATCTGGCCCTGGGCTCTGTGCCTTCCTTCTCTAGTTTTCAACTCTGCACTCCCAACCCCGTCCTGCTGCCATGCCTCCATCCTCGCACTCACATCCTCCCCCTACAGCAGTGTGGGGGCACTGTGCCTCCCCTAACACCTGTGGCCACTGCCCGGTTTGCCCTGCTCCTTCATTCGATGCCTTTTTCCCTCCTTTCAGTGACTTGCATTTTGTCCCCATTTACACTCTGCCCCACTGTGTCCCCACACGATCTTTGGCTCTTTTGAGTTTTCAGTAGCCTCTGACTGTGCTTGGCCTCCCGGGCTCCTGTGTGGAATGGTTGCCAGCCCCACACTGGATGCTCTGCCCTATCCCCGTTCTTTTGGGCTAACCTGGCCCTCCTTCTTCCCTTCCTCACTCCACTCAGTCCCCTTTTGCCCTTGTTTCTTCCCTGTCTTCTGTTTGCATGGTGGTGTGTCACTGTGCTGCTAAACTAAAGTCACTGATTCCTGTGGTCACTGGAGGAAGAACAGACTCCTTGCCGCTTCCAGACCTACATGGACTGACTGTCCCCTTCCGCCCACGCCTTCCCTCAGGCCTCATGGGGCCTGCCTCTTTTCCTGGTGGCCTGAGCGACTGTACAAGCATCTTCCATAGATGTAGCTCTTGGGCCCCTGGTTCTACAAGGCTCAGACTAGGCTGGAACATCCATCCCAGTGGCCAGTGGGAATGTGGTTTTGGGGGATAGGCTCCCTCTCTGCAGGGCCTCTCTCCCATTGGGCTGTGGGACCACTTTCCTCCTCAGCCAGGGCTAGAAGCCAAGATCAGCCCTTGAGGATCATTGTCAGGACTGCCATGAGTGGGCAGCCTTGTTTTCCTGCCTCAGACACTAATGGAGGCTGGAGGGGAGTGGTGCTGGCCTCTACTAGGACACTGAACCCCAAACCACATGAAGCCTTTAAGTGGCAGCACCATACAGGGTGCAGTAATTTTCAGCCACTACCAGGCCCTTGTGTTACTCTTGTGTGGCATCACCCCATGGGCAGTTGATGGACCTGGTGATGCCTGAAGGGGTAGAGGCTACACCTCTCAGCTCTGCCAAGCCAGAGCTCTGGTCCCAGGGCTGTTATTGGGAAGGAGTGTCTAGGGTGGGAACTTAGAGAAGGGGAGAGGGAAAACTGAAAAGATGGGACAGCAGAGCAGCCCCCTGTGCAGCTTAGCCACCAGCTCACAGCTGTCTCTGGCCAGGGCTCCACACAAGATGGCACGGCGGGGCCTGATGAAGAAGAGCCGGGAGTGGGTGTTAGAGAAAAAGGCACGGCGTAGGCGCCAGGGCAAGTGAGTACCTGTCTGGGCATGGGTGGTGGGAGCAGAGGGTGGTGGGGCACCAAGGACTGACTCACTGTTCCTCCTGCGACTCTTCTGCCTGCCTCTGTAGGGAGGTCAGACCTGACACCCAGTACACCGGCCGCAAGCGCAAGCCCCGCTTCTGAAGAGTGCATGCCTAATCCAGTGGAGAGCCTGGGCCTCCCCACATCTGCATCCCATCCACCAGAGAACCCTGGGGCACCTACATCTGCATCCAATCCAGTGTCGGACAGTCCTGCCACTTGTGTGGTTGGGAGCTGGGCCAGCCAGCCCAGGACCTGCCTCTGGGGAATTTTCTAGACTGGCCCCCCCCACATCTCCCCCCCACCCCCCAGAGACCCTGGGGGCCCCTACATCTGCATCCAATCCAGTGTCGGACAGTCCTGCCACTTGTGTGGTTGGGAGCTGGGCCAGCCAGCCCAGGACCTGCCTCTGGGGAATTTTCTAGATGAACTGCTTACTTTAACAGCTGACAACATAGCACTTTAGAGAATTTGCAAAGTTCTCTAAGTATTTCCTTCACTAAAAGAGTTCCAGGGAGCTGGGTGGTCTGCCCACCCCTCTTATCCAAACACCCACCCGAATACTGAGGCAGGAAGACTAAAAGGCTAGCCTGAGCTAAACACCAAAAACCTGTCTTAAAACACAAAAAGAAAAAAATATTTCTAATGATGTTTTATTTTTGTTCTAAGTGCATTAAATCACTTTCTGAGTAAGTCTTGTGTACCCTGGCTCTGACATCAGCCTAGTATCTCAGGTCCCTTTGTTGTTGACACTGCATGGCTCCTAGGCAGGAACTGGGCCTGAAGACCAGAAATGGACAAAAGGATTCTTGTGACCTGCAAGGGGCACAGTGAATCAGGGTACATGTCATGATGTCATATAATACATCAGCTCTGCGTAGTGGTGTTTTTGTGGTTCTCAGTGCTTTGGGCTTCTGCCATTCCATGTCCCTTGCCTTGGGTGGGAGGTGTTATGCTGCTCAGTGCTTGGTGGCCTCGGTCTGTCTGGACACACAGGTGGCCAGAAGTGCAGGTCCTGTTCTGGGGTGGGCAATGGCCTGTCTCCCAGTTTGAGAGATCTGGTGTTTATGTCCTGTGGACCTCAGAAAGGAAAGGTTACATCTGGATGTGGCATCACAGGATGGCAGGGCAGAAGGGCCCAAGGCCCTAACCCTGGAATGGTGTCTCTCCAGCAGCCAGATCCCAGATGTTGGCTGGGGAGCTGGCTCAGGGGTAAAGCCCTTGCTGTGCAAGCCTGAGGACCTGAATTCAGATTCCTAGTACCTATGTAAAGCCAGATTCAGTAGTGCAGGTCTGTGTGATTCCCCCGTGATTACTGCTAAATAGGAAACAAAGACAGAGAGTCCTAGATGCGCATGGGCCACCTAACACAGTGAATGAGAGACCCTGACTTAAACAAGGTGGAAGGTGAGGACCCACACCCAAGATTGTCCTTTGACCTCCACAGAGGCGTACATGTGCACACACAAGGATTTTTATTAAGGGAGGCAGGGAGGGCGATGCCAGGTGTGGTGCATGCCTTTAATCCCAGGACTTGGGAAACAGAGACAGGCAGATCTCAGAGATTGAGGCCAGCCTGGTCTACATAGCCAGCTGGGGATATAGGAAGACCCTGTCTCAAAAACCTGAAGCTCTGCCTTTGATGAGAAAAGCTCTGGCCCCTACCCCTGAGGTGAGGGTAGGATTCTGAGCCTGTCCCAAGAGAGCCTAGATAGAAGCCACTGACAAGACAGGTCACTGAAGGTCTGTGTATGTTGTGTGTTGCAGGGATGGCGAGATCCTCTGTCTCTGAGCCTCTTCCCCTCAGTAATCCACATGTCGGTCCCCACACTGTGCACCACAGACAGTTAAAAAAAAAGTCCAAGGGGCTGGAGAGTTGGCTCAGGCGTTGAGCACTGGCTGCTTTTTCAGAGGACTTGGGTTTGGTTCCCAACAACCACATGGTGGATAACTATCCTTAACTCCAGTTCCAGGGGATCTGATGATCTGTTCTGGTCTCCATGGGTATCTCCATGGGTACCAGGCATGCATCTGATACACATATTTGCATACATGCACACAAATGCTCATACACATAAAATAAAAATATTTTTAGAAGAAGTCCAGAATAGGCTCACTACAGATACAAATATTTATTCTACATAAAAATCTCACAAAATGGGCAGCTGGTTGTACCAAGACCTTTGGTGAAGGGATGGAGGGAAGTGGCCGTGAGAGAAGGCAGCACAGACAGTCATTGGGCAGGAGCCAAGCTGAAGGAAGGTGGGGCATACAGACACGGCCCCGACCCCCATGGCATGCGCTCACATGCACACTCCTTGCCTGTGGATGAGAAAGGGGTTCTGGGGTGGGGTGGGGGGCACATTTCTGACTGAGAAACCCCAAGATGGCAGGGGAGGGAAGTAAGGAGGCCCTCCCCTCCTGGCTGCTGAATACTGCATCCTGGATACCTGACACCATGTGGCACATCAGTGGGAGACAGTGAGGGTAGGGTGAGACTGCAGGGATGCCTGGCTTACCAGATCACGAGACCAGGGACCAGTGTCCCCAACATGCAACTTTAGCCACAGACTCAACATGCCTGTTAGAGACTGTGGGCAGAGGCCTGCAGCCTGTTCACCTCCCCAGCGCTGAGCAAGGCTGGAGATGGCACCACCAAACTTTCCAGAAGGTCACCATGCTCAGGCCCAGCCCAGGGACTTGGCCCTTGGGCCAGAGACAATGTCAGGTTTTGCCCAGAGTAGGAGACAAGGTGCTCCTGACATAGCAGCCAAGGCACCCTGAGCCCCCTGGCAGTGGTCAGCTAACAGAGACTCAGTGCTGGGCTGTCTTTGGGACACCACTCCCCTAACCCGAAAAGCAGCACCATGTGGTCAGCTGGTCCCCACCCTCCAGGCAGCTGGGCATGGTGGGGAGAGCTGGAGAGGCCAGAGGGCAGGGTGGATGAGGGCAAGGTTTGGGTCCAGAAAGGAGCCCAAGTCCCAGGGAAGGGTAGACTTAAAGAAAGGCAGTCCTGGCCAGGGCCTGAGTCTTTCCCACACTGATCTGTCCTCAGCTCCTCTGGCTGTTCCTGGCCCTGCTCCCCTCTGCCTCATGTACAGACACACACTGTCACAAGGTCATGCACACGACACGGCTCAGGGCAGGGTGGGAATGGGAGCCCCATGGCAGAGAGGGGAGCAGTGTGGGAGGAGAGGGCTCCCAGCCAGAAGGCAGGAGTAGGGAGGGAAACCCAGCCAGGTGCAGCAGCCAGGGGCCTCCTCAGGGAGACCCATCCAGAGTGGAATGGTGGGCGGGGTGGTTTCTATCCAAAGATGCCGCCAATGGTGGAGGCAATGACGATGCCCAGGATCACACAGCAGATGATGATCATGATCTTCTTCTATAGGGACAGAAAGACAAGCTAAGGCAGAGCCATGAGGGATGGCCAGGGAGGGACAAGAATGGGGGCTGAAGATGGGGCAGAGCACCTGCCTAGAATCCCCCAGTGAGGGGCTGGGGGTGTGGCTCAGTGGTAAAGTTCCTATCTAAACTCCCCCAGTGAAGGGCTGGGGTGTGGCTCAGTGGTAAAGTTCCTATCTAAACTCCCCCAGTGAAGGGCTGGGGTGTGGCTCAGTGGTAAAGTTCCTATCTAAACTCCCCCAGTGAAGGGCTGGGGTGTGGCTCAGTGGTAAAGTTCCTATCTAAACTCCCCCAGTGAAGGGCTGGGGTGTGGCTCAGTGGTAAAGTTCCTATCTAAACTCCCCCAGTGAAGGGCTGGGGTGTGGCTCAGTGGTAAAGTTCCTATCTAAACTCCCCCAGTGAAGGGCTGGGGTGTGGCTCAGTGGTAAAGTTCCTATCTAAACTCCCCCAGTGAGGGGCTGGGGGGTGGCTCAGTGGTGGAGCACCTGCCTAGAGTCCCCCAGGGAGGGGCTGGGGTGTGGCTCGGGTGTGCCTCAGTGGTAAAGTTCCTATCTAAACTCCCCCATTGAATGGCTGGGGGTGTGCCTCAGTGGTAAAGTTCCTATCTAAACTCCCCCATTGAATGGCTGGGGGTGTGCCTCAGTGGTAAAGTTCCTATCTAAACTCCCCCATTGAATGGCTGGGGGTGTGCCTCAGTGGTAAAGTTCCTATCTAAACTCCCCCATTGAATGGCTGGGGGTGTGCCTCAGTGGTAAAGTTCCTATCTAAACTCCCCCATTGAATGGCTGGGGGTGTGCCTCAGTGGTAAAGTTCCTATCTAAACTCCCCCATTGAATGGCTGGGGGTGTGCCTCAGTGGTAAAGTTCCTATCTAAACTCCCCCATTGAATGGCTGGGGGTGTGCCTCAGTGGTAAAGTTCCTATCTAAACTCCCCCAGTGAGGGGCTGGGGGCGTGGCTCAGTGGTAAAGTTCCTATCTAAACTCCCCCAGTGAGGGGCTGGGGGCGTGGCTCAGTGGTAAAGTTCCTATCTAAACTCCCCCAGTGAGGGGCTGGGGGCGTGGCTCAGTGGTAAAGTTCCTATCTAAACTCCCCCAGTGAGGGGCTGGGGGCGTGGCTCAGTGGTAAAGTTCCTATCTAAACTCCCCCAGTGAGGGGCTGGGGGCGTGGCTCAGTGGTAAAGTTCCTATCTAAACTCCCCCAGTGAGGGGCTGGGGGTGTGGCTCAGTGGCAGAGCACTTGCCTAGCACATGCCAGACCCTAGATTCCATTTCCAGTACTTAAAAAATCAAGCAAACAGTAAAATGAGGGTTGAGGTCTGGAAGGTGTGGACTAGGGGTAGGTGATGTCTGGAATGGACTGCTGATGGGGAGGTGAAGGCTAATGGTCAGAGCTTCTGAAAAGGACACAGAGGCAGGTGGGAAGTGTTCGGTGGTCTGGGGGCTCTATGGGGCATGAACTCAGGCAGAGCTGAACACTGACCCTGCGGGCCTTGCTCTGGTACTTGACAGCCTTCTTGGTGTCAGACACAGCCCTCTCCACGTAATCCACGGCATGCTCCACGTTGTACTCGATCCTGTCAATCATCTCTCCCTGCAGGATGAAGGGTACCGGAGTTCCAGACCTTCGTCCTCAGGCTCAGCAGGGGGCTCAGGGCAGAACTTTAGGAAAAGTGTCCTGAAGTTAGACAGACAGAAGGGGGCTGTGAGGCACAGGGGATATAGTCTCTCTCACCTGTGTCCTCAGGCCAGGCACCTGGCCAGGGTGTCAGCAGTACAAGAAACTCTGGGAGCGGCTCCCAACTCTCCCACACAGCAGCCATCTTGGGGAACTGGCCATGCAGTCTCAGGCAAGGATGGGGACCATGCAGAGGGTGTTCAGCTGGGGTCCTGTGTGTGGGACAATGTCAAAGTAGAGAAAAGCTGGGGCAGGAATGGTCACTTGTAGTCTGAGCCTGCCCTGGCCAAAGCTTACAGGTGACCATGGGCAAGCCTCTGCTTCCTAAGATAACACTCCTATACAGTTTTGTTTTTTTTTTTCTTTTTTTTTTTTTTTTTTTTTTTTTTTTTTTTTTGTCTTTTGAGTCAGGCTTTCCCTGTAGCCCCAGCTGGCCCAGAATTCACTATGTAGACCAGACTGGCCTCAAACTCACAGAGCTCATCCAGCCTCAGTCTCCCAAGTACCGAGATTAAAGATGTGTGTCACCATGCCCAGCACATGCAGTTCTTAATGCCTGTTGCCTTCAAACTCCTGAGATCCTCTGCTCTGATGCACAGTCCTCTTTGGGTCCTGTCATTTGGTCCTCCCCAAAGGCCATTTGATCATGACATTGCTCCACAAAAGTCACAGCAATGGTGTGAGTCTGACACCTTCAGGGGTATCAGACAGCATGGCCTTGGAAGGACATGGCAACAGCTTACTCAGGCCATGTCATTCCTATACCTGGAACCCCGAGTCCAGCCAGGCATGGCCTGTGAGCCCAGCACTCAGAAGACTGAGGTAAGAGGACTGGAAGTTCAAGGCTAGCCTTGAACACAGAGGTTAAAAAATAAAAAAATCCTGGGGCTAGAGAGATGCAGCAGTTAAGAGCACAGGCAGCTCTTAGAGAGGACCCAGGTTCGGTTCCCATCACCTACATGGTAGCTAACAACGATCTGTAACTCCAGTTCCAAGGGATCCAACACCAGTGCTCTCATGGCCTCCACAGGCATTGCATGGCATGGGTTCATTTACAAACATATAGGCAAAACACTTATACACATTAAAAATGAGTAAATCCAAAAAAAAACTGTTTAAAAAAAAAAAAAAAAGGATGCCAGGTGTGGTGGTGCATGCTTTTAATCCTAGCACTTGGGAGGCAAAGGCAGGAAGATCTCTATGAGTTCCAGGCTAGCCTGATCTACATAGTGAGTCCCAAGCCAGCCAGGGTTTGTGTCAAAAAAAAAACAAAACTAAGAAAACAAAATGTAGAAAGCAATTGAGGAAGACACCCAATATCAACCTCTGGCCTCTGTACATGCACACATGTACACACGCATGCACACACACACACACCATAGTTTTTGATTTTGTGTTAGGCTTCATTCATAGCTATCCCAGGGTACATGTGGCCCATAGGCCACAGGTTGGGCACACCTACCTAGGAGTCTCCTGAGCTCCTGGCACCACTGGGGAGTATTCCATTTGTTCTATATGGATGCTACCTTTTCTCACTCAATAGTCACTCCCTCTAGGAAGCGGCCCCTCAGCTGTCCTGTTCACTGCTAGGCTCCCAGCTTCTAGCAATGCAACCAGGGGACAGTTTGCCTTTGACACAGTTGATGGATGAAGAAGTCAAGACAGAGCTGGTTTTAGGGGTGGGGCCATGCAGGGCCTGGGGAACCAAGCAGAGCCATGCAAAAGGGTCCTTAGAGGCCCTTCCAACAGCCTATGGGTGGGTTGGTTACCTGTAGGCTCTTGGTCCCTCTCGGGCAAGGCAGCATGTTGGGTTGAAAGGGCAGGGATTAGTGAGGCCCTGGGTGCTGCTGGGGGCTGGAGGAGGGGGAAGGTAAGGACAAGGGTGTTCACCTGGCTCTCAACCAGCATGGCCATGTCCATGAACATGTCATGGAGTTCCCGGATGCTGTTCTCCAGCTTGATGATCTCACTGTGCCGGGTCTCAATCTCACTCAGAGCCTGCTTCGAGATGCTGGAGTCCATGATGATCTAGGGGATGGAGCAGTGGGCTGGGACCCCAACACCTGCCGAGGAGTGGGTGCTGGAACCCCAACACATGCTGAGGAGGGGATGCTGGGGACTTGGGCCAGGAAGGCAGGGAGACTATGACTTTTTAAAAAATATGTGTGTGGCCAGGTGTGGTAGTGGTGCACACCTTTAATCCCAGCATTCAGGAGGCAGAGGTAGGTGGATCTCTTTGAGTACAAGGCCAGCCTGGTCTATGTAGTAAGTTCCAGGCTGGGTAGGGTTACAGGAAGACCATCTCAAAAAGGCAAAAAAAAAAAAAAGTGTTAGTGTGTCTGTGCACATGTGAGTACAGTATCCATGGAGGCCAGAAGAGGGTGTCAGATGCCCTGAAGCTGGAGTTACAGGTGTTTGTGAGCTACCATGTGGGTGCTAGGAACCCAACTCAGGTCCTCTGCAAGAACAATGTATGCTTTGAACCACTGAACCATCTTTCCAGACACAATGGTTATTGTTGTTTTTTGGGGGTATATTTTTGAGACTCCCTGTACCACTCCCTGCCAAGATTTTTGCTGGTTCCTTCCTTCCTTCCTTCCTTCCTTCCTTCCTTCCTTCCTTCCTTCCTTCCTCCCTCCTTCCTTCCTTCCTTCCTTCTCTTCCTGTAGCCCCAACTGGCCTAGAACCCACTACTGTAGACCAGGTTGGCCTCGAACTCATAAAGATCTGTTTGCTTCTGCCTCTCAAATGCTGGGATTTTAAAGGTGTGTGCCACTATACCCGGCTCGGCAAGTTTTTTTTTTTAATTTTTATTATTTTTATTTTATGTGTATGCGTGTATTGCTTGCATGTAGGTAAGAGCACCCGTGTTGTTAGCTGCCATGTGGGTGCTGGAATTTGAACCCGGGTCTTCTGCAAGAACAACCAGTGTTCTTAACCACTGAGCCATCTCTCCAGCCCCGGCAAGTTTTTTTGTTTTTTTGTTTTTAAGATGTGTATTTTGTGTACATGTGAGTGCCTGCATGTGTGTATGTGTGCTTCATGTGCTTGCCTGGTGCCCTGGGAGATCAAGAGAAGGTGTCTGATCCTCTGGAACTGGACTTACAGACAGTTGTGTGAGTGCTGAGAACCAAACCTGGGTCCTCTGCTGGAGCAGAAGTGCTCTTAATTGCTGAGTCTGTCCAGCCCTGAAGTTAAATTTTAACTGTCAATTTGACACAACCTACAATCACCTGGAAGAGAGTCTCAATGAAGCATTGTTTAAATCAGGTTGACTATGGGCATGTCTGTGGGCAATTGTCTTGATTACCAATGTTAGTTGATGTGGGCAAACCCAGCCCACTATGGGCGGCACCATTCTTTACATAGGCAATCCCGAACTGAACAAGAGTAGAGAAAGCTCACGAGAACTAAGCATGCATGCGTTTAGTCTCCCTCTCCAATCTTTTTAAAAATATTTATTTTTGTTTTATGTGTATGACTGTTTTGCCTGCATGTAAGTGCACATTGTATATGCAATGCCTGTGGAAGCCAGAAGAGGGTGTCAGATCCCCTGGAAATGGAGTTACAGGTGGTTGTAAGCTACCATGTGGGTACTGGGAGCCAAACCCGGGTCCTCTGCAAGAGCACCCAGTGCTCTTAACCTCTAGCATCTCTGCAGCCCCTCTCTGCTCTTGACTGTGGATGTGACCAGCTGTCTCAAGCTCCTGATACTATGCTTTCCTTGCAATGACGGAACTGTGAGCTAAAATATGCTCTTTCCCTCCTAAGTTGTTTTTTGTCAGTCCTTATTGCAGTTAAAAGAATGAAATTTGAACAGGAACGAAGGTGGAAGGCAGCTGAGATGGGCAGAAGTTTCTGAAAGCAGCAGTCATAGCCCTTCCAATATCTTGTTTGGCCCCACTACCACTAGTTTCTGGGTGACTCGATTCCTGCCTGAAATATGGTACTTGCCACCTGGTTAACAATCATTGAGTGTTTTATTGATTTATTTGATTAAAAATTTTTGTATTACATTTACTTATTTTGTGTGTGCACACAGGTATGTGCCACAGTGCACACATGGCAGTTAGAGGACGTCTTTCGGTAATCAGTTCTTTCCTTTCACCATTTGAGTCCCAGGGATGGAACTAGGTCTTCAGGCTTGATGGCAAGCATCTTGATCTGCTGAGCTATCTTGTCAGTCCTGTGTGTTTTGAGACAGTCTCATGTATCCTAGGCTGACTTCGGACAGGCTGTGTCATTCAGGATGATCCTAAATTCTTGATCCTCCTGCCTCTATTCCTTAGTGCTGTGATTACAGGAGTGCACCACCATGCCTAGTTTTATACTGTGCTAGGAACTGAACCCAGAGTTTTGTGTATGCTAGACAAACACTCTACCAACTGAGCTACAACCTAGCCCTATTTGGTTTTTCTAAACATGTTTATGATTATTACTAAAATCCTTTTTATTTATTTTTATTTATGTGTACGAATATTTTGCCTGCATGTATGTATATTCACCCCTGCATGCAATGCCTGCAGATGCTAGAAGTGGGTGTCAGATCCCCAAGAACTGGAGTTACAGAAGTTGTTAGCCGCATGTGGGTGCTGGGATCCAAACCTGGGTCCTCTGCAAGAGAAGCCAGTGCTCTTAATCACTAAGCCATCTCTCCAGCCCCTATGATCATTATTTGTGTGTGTGTGTGTTGCATATAAGTGGGTAGATCTGCTCACTCATTTGTATACATGCCAGAGCAAAATATCTCCCTCTATCAGTCTGCCTTACTCTTAAAAAAAAAAAAAGCACAGTTATTTGTGTGTGTGGAGGGGAGGGGTGTGCATAGGAGCTACAGTGTGTGTGTAGGGGTCAGAGGACAACTTGAAGGAGCCTGTTCTCTCCTTCCACTATGTGGCTCTTGGGGTTTGAATTTGAATCCTCCTTTACCCACTTGGCCATCTCACCATCCTGGACACAAGTCTTGATTTCACCTTTGCCACTAACATTTATGTGACCCTCAGGTTGGTCCCCTCCCTACTCAGAAACTCGGGCTTTCTCTGAAACCTGCCTCAGTGGATGGCTATGTCCAAACACTGTCCTGACCCAGGGCTTAGTACACACAATGGGAACTACTGTTGGGGTACATCGTCAGTGGGTCGTGGTAGCAGGGGTAGGGTCCACACTCACCCCAGAGGCAAAGATGGCGGGGTTCCCACTCTCCAGCATGTCTTCTAACTCCTCACTGGTAGTGGTCCTGCCAGCTGTGGGTGGGATCACACTGAGCACAATTCTCTCCAGGGAGCTCAGTAGTAGCAGGTCAGTCAACCCATCCAGTCAAGCTCCTCCTTGAGCCCCTGGCCACCTCCAATCCAGACCCAACCCCTAGGGCCCAAACCACGCCCCAGCCCAAACCACACCTTTGGCCACAGGCTCCACTCCACCAGCCCTCCAGCCCAAACTACATGCCCTGGCCACAAGCCTCACCCACCATCCTATAGCCAAAACCCCATCCCCAAGCCCTTAAACATGGCCCCATCCTTCTAGCCCCAACCACAGGCGCCATCCCACCAGCTCTTCAGCTCAAACCAAACCTGTAGCCATAGGCCTCACCCACCACTCTTCCAGCCCAGGCTGCACCCTACCCACAGGCTCTGCCCCTCCATCTCTAGCTGAACCCCCAAGCCATAGGCCCCACCCATGGTCCCAACCCTCCAGCACAAACCAAGGGTACTTAGTCACAGTTCTTCCAGGACTTCTGTCCTTAGCACACAGGGCCCACCTACCACTCCATCAGCCCAGGCCCACCCTTCCGCCCAGGCCCCGCCCCCAGCTCACTGATCTCCAGCTGCCTCTGGATGCGCCCCTTGCAGCGCTCGCGGTAGTCCGACTGTGTGGCGTTGTACTCAGACATGACCTCCACAAACTTCCGGGACAGCGTTGAGTGCTGGAGGGGGCACAGGAGTGTAGGTAGGTATTGGGCTCCGGAGAACCCAGGGATCAGGTGCATGCCCACCCCTGCATTCCCATAGCACCTGCGTCTTCCGGATCCTCAGGTCTGCGGACGAGCGGTTCAGGCCTTCCTCTTGCTCGATGCTCTGCTCGATGCCTGGTGGAGCAGGGGGCTGTTGAGCCATCCCCACCCCCATGCATCATCTCCACCCACAAGCCCAGAATGCGGCACTCCAGCCACCCCTGGGATGGGACCTCTGTGGTGATCCGAGGGATGGGGTCACATGGAAACAGAAATGTATGCATTAAAGAAGTGGGGCCAATAACGGCTCTTCGACCTGAAGTTGTGTGTGTAAGTGCTGTGTGCTGGATCTGGCTGCTCAGGCCACACTGTCACCTGAGTTTCCTTCCCTGTGCTCAGGCTCAGGCACAAGGGCTGTGCCCCAGTGGGGAAGACCAGGTGGTTGCCACCTGCAGAGCATATGTCCCCTAGGCTGTGGTGGCCCACGCATGGCATGCCTGTCTATCAACATAGATACAGCATATGGTCTGCATGGATCCTTACATGCCAGCCACTTCTTAAGCTTTTTTTGTTTTAGATATGGTCTAATATAGCCCAGTCTGTCCTCTATGTAGCTGATGCTGGACTTGAACTACTGATTCCCTTGCCTCCACCTATGGAGTGCTAGGATTACAGACAAGTGAGCCACCATGCCCAAATTTATCAAACCTAGGGATGCATGCTAGTCAAGCACTCATACTGAGCCACACCCCTGGGGGGACTCACTCTTTAACTTGGAGCGAACTTTGTTTGCTGTCTTCTTTATGTCTGACATGAGCTCTTCCAGCTCCTCCTTTGTCTCTGCATAGGAAGAAGAGGGTATGGTGTAGACACCCTGGTTTCTCCTTTGCCCAATATTCAGACCCCTCACCTCCAGCACCAGCAGCAAGATGGGGGTGGGGCTGGGCAGACCCTGGTGACATAGGTTTCCCCTTTTATCTTGGCTACAGCTTTGTCTACATCTCCAATTCTAGGCCAAGGCCACCCTAGCCTCAGCCTCACCCCCCTCTCCCGCTATCTTCTAAGAAGCTGTCTCCCTCCTTTGCTGGCTCCCCCATCCCCTGTAGACAACAGATGGGGCTAAATTTAAGGCTGGTAAGGCTGCTGCGGTTGGTGCTGGGAAGCTGTTTACTCGGTGGGTGCCTGAGTTCGCATGGGGCTGGGTTTCACCTTGCTTTATCTAGTAGAGGCCAGGGAATAGGCTGTGGCAGGGTGGGCTACATTGCCTCCCCAGTCATAGCCTCTGCCACAGGGCTCTGGGTATGGCTGACCTTGAACTTACAAAATTGCCCCTCCAGGACACCGGGGACCCTGGTCTGGTGGGGAGGGGGCAGTAATAGATTCAAAAAGGTGGGTGGGTGCAGTGGCACCCACTTTTAATCCCAGCACTCCAGAGGCAGTGGCAGAGGGATTTCTGTGAGGTCAAGGCCAGACTGGAGTTCTAGGCTAGCTGGGGCTACAGGGAGACCCTGTCTCAAAAAACAAAACCAAAGCAGTGAAAGCCCGGGGTGTAGTGGATCTAGAGGTGGCAGGTCACTGGGGCTTATGAGAGGTGAACAGGAATGAGAGAATAAAGTGATCTTCTACAGGCAGAGGCCTGGGGGTGCCCAGCTTACCCCCCTCCCAAGCTCTAGGGAGTGAAGCCTCAGGAAGCCTGTAGGACTACCCTCTCTTCCAGCTACAACCAGGTTCCTGGTTATCAACCACATCCACTGGGCTTGGGGAGGAAAACGGTGGTATATCAGGATCTGGGCATCATCTCCTAAGTGGAAAGTGAGTGTGGCAGAGTGTGGGGGGGTGCTCTGCAGAGCGGAGGAGGGTGCCTCTCTCCTACGAACAAAGGAAAACTTGGTCACCAGCTGCTCTTGCTATCTCAGCTTCTTTTGCTAAAGACTCAAAATAGCCCAGCTGGAAGGTGCCCCCTCCATCAAGGAGGCAGAGCCAGGCTTGGCCAAGGAAAGACCCCCACCCTACTCCTAACTTCCATTGTTCTTCCTTAGCTCTGCCCTGCCCTAAGGCCCTAATGGGGTGTCCCCCTTCTCTTGATGAGGTCCTGGGTCTCAGTCTGGTTTTACTGCTTAGTTTATGGGCACAGTCACTACTATGTAGACCACAAAGGGGGAAGTGTGGACAGTGGTAAATGGGAGCCATCCAGAGATGAAGCTAAATAGTTCCACTATGCTGTGCGCACCTGACCTCCAGCAGTTGTGGCGTCTCCTTAACAAATCCCTGCCCCTTTTCTTTCAGACAGGGCCTTATGTAGCCCAGGCTATCCTAGAACTTGCTATGTAGCTGGATAACCTTGATTCTTTATTTATTTTTAATTTTATGTGTATGAATGTTTTGTCTGCATGTATGTAAGTGCACCCATGTCATGTAATGCCTGCAGAAGGCAGAAGAAAGATCCTCTGGAACTGGTTGATGGTTGTTATCTGCCATGTGGGTAGTGAGAACTGAACCTGGGTCCTCTGCAAAAGCAGTGCTCTTAACCACTGAGCCATCTTTCCAGCCTTGACCTTGAACTCTTGAACCTCCTATCTCCACTACCTGAGTGCTGGGATTATAGACTAGAGACTCGTGCCACCACAACTGGCTTATGTGCTGCTGGAAATTAAATCCAGAACTTTGTGCATGCTAAGCAAGCATTCTACCCATTGAGCTACATCCCAGCCCTTCAGAAGCCCACACAAGGAAATGCAGTGACCCAGATACCCACAGACATGAGATGCAGGTGCTCCATAGAGGGCATATCTTTAGGAAGGGAGATGGAGGAGGATGACAGCTGTGTTTCCCAAGTGGTTTCTCTTCTCCTCCCATCCTAGGATGTCTCCCTATGTCACATGTGCTTCATCCTCCCTTCCCAAGGCTATGGAAGGCTGGGCTGTTGGCATGGGCTCACTCTAAACATGAAACCACAGGGTGGGAGAGAACTTTGTTATGGGCTTGAGGGTGAGGGTCCTGGATGTGGGGGTGAGGGGGTCCACAAGCTTGACCTTTTTGAGTCATGCGGATAGGGGGTCTGGGACTTCCCAAAGGACATGGAATGACAGGAGGGACAGTGACCATGAATATAGGCCAGTCTGAGTCACTGGCCTGCCTGGGTCCCCATGACAGAGAGCCAATCACTGGCTCCCTGGGCCTGTAGCCAAGCCCCTTCCAGGGCAGAGGGTCTCAGTCAGGTTTATCTGTAGCAGCCTGGTCCAAATCAATGTGTAATCAATATCTCAATGGAGCACCAGGTATGGTGACATATGCCTGTAATCCCAGTACTTAAGAAGCAGGGGGCTGGAGAGATGAATCAGTGGTTAAGAGCACTGACTGCTCTCCACTCAGGAGGCAGAGGCAGGTGGCTGTCTGTGAGTTCACCAGCCTGGTCTACATAGTGAGTTCCAGGACAGCTGGGGTTGCAGAGAGAGCCTGTCTCAAAAAGACCTCCCCCCACAAAAAGAGCACTGACTTTTGCAGAGGACCCAAGTTCAATTTCCAGCACCCAAATGGCAGCTAACAACTGTCCATAACTACAGTTCCAGAGGATCCAACACCCACTTCTGACTTCAACAGGTATTGCATGACATGGGTGCCCTTATATACATGCAGGCAATACACTCATACATATAAAATAAAAATAATAAATAAAATATTTTTAAAAAGAGGTAGAGGCAGGAGGATCAGAAGTTCAAGGTCATCCTCAACTACATAGCAAGGTCAAGACTAGTGTGTGGGGGAGGCAGGCAGTGAGATGACTCAGTAGGTAAAGGTGCTTGCCACCAAGTCTGACAACCTGAGTTTGATCCCTGGGACCCACATGGTGGAAGGAGAGAACCAGCTCCTCAAAGTGCAACTTGTCCTCTGATTTCTGAATGCTCACCAGGAAACATACATTGCCACCTCCCAATAAAATCAATTATGTAATTAAAAAAACAAAAAACCAACACACACTTGGTGTGGTAACATGCTTTTAATCCCAATACTTGGGAGGCAGAAGAGGAAGATCTCTGTGAGTTTCAGGACTGCCAGGGCTGCATAGTGAAATCCTATCTCAAAAATAAAGCAAAATAAATTAAAATTTTTAAAAAAGACCACCTTGGGCTGCATGAGACCCTGTCTCAAAAAAACAAAAAAAAGGAAACAAAAGGCAGAGTGAGAAAAGCGATAGAGGAAGATACAAATGTCTTACTCTAGCATCAGCTGCCCACATATGGGCATACGTACCCTCACACTCGCATGCAGTGCACACACACACACACACACACACATACACACACACACACACACACACACGCCCATCAACATGAACATGAAGGCTAAGTCACAGGAATGTGTCACAGTAGAGCTAGATGCACACAGGCAAAGGGAAAAGGTGGCTTCCTGTAGCCATAAGCACGCCTGGCTCTGGGCTATTAAGTGGCAGGGTGCCAGCTCTCACAGGAAGCTGCCTACCTGGCCCACTAGCTCTCTCACAGCGCTGCTGCCATCTGCTCCCCTGGGAGGCAAGAAGGGGAGGGGCCAGGCTGGGGAGCTTCTGATTCATTGGACAACTCCCTCTGTACCTCCCTCTACCCATTCATCTATCCATGCATCTGTGGGCTCTCCTCCCTAGCATCCCATGACAGCAGCCATCCTCTATACCTTTAACAAAAGTCCTAGTAGCTGAGAATATATAATTTATAATATATAAATGTTATTAACTTACTTATAATTTATGCTATATAACATATGTTTTATTTATTTTTATTTTATGTGTATGAGTGTTTTGCCTGCATGTATGTAATGCAGCACATGTGTGCAATGCTCACAGAGGCCAGAAGAGGGTATCGGATTCCCTGGAATGGGAGTTAAGGCCAGTTGTTGGTTGTTGGTTCTTAGCTGCTGTGTGGGTACAGGGAAGTGAACCTGGGTCCTCTGCTAGCAGTCAGTGCTCTTGACTGCCAAACCTTTTCTCCAGACTCTAAATATATACATTTTATGTGTATGTATGTATGGCTGCTTGAGTTCCTGTGTGAAGGTTCCCTCAGAGGCCAGAAGAGGGTGTCTAGTCCCTGGAACTAGATTTTCAGGTGGTTGAGAACTGCCTGATGTGTGTGCTGGGAACTGAACTTGGGTCCTCTGAAAGAACAGTAAATGCTCTTAACCACTCAACCATCTCTTTAGCCCCTTATTTTCTTTGTGGTGTGTGTGTGTGTGTGTGTGTGCGTGTGTGTGTGTGTATTTTCATTTTGAGGCAAGGTTTCACATAGCCCAGGCTGGCTTCAAACTCTCCACCAGCTTCGATCATAGATGTGTACCATGCAAGTGTAGTCACCCAAAATCTCAGCTCAGACACCACTCTGCCTGACGCACCCCAGTGCAGGCTTACTGGGGCTCGGGAGCCCTTGTTTGCTCCTGCCCCATCCTCACTCACTCTCATCAGGGTTGGGGGAGGCCAGGATGGCACTGTGTTTTCGCTTCACCTCCTCCACATTCTCAGCAATCTTGTCAATGAAGCCCCGGATTTCTTCCACCTGGGGACAGGAGAATGAGACAAGAGAGAAGTTGGGCAGACATTGATGATGGAGCAGCAGCTCCCATGGGACCATCCAGAGGGAGCAAAGCTGTAGAGTCCAGTCACCGACTTTGCTAAGCATCAACCTATCCACCCTCAAATTAGCTCACATGGGAGCCCCCATCCCAGGGCTGAGCAAGGTGCAGACGTGTGAGGAGTCCTGTGCCAGCTTACAGGTGAGGGGTGTGGATACTTGGGGTGGCTGGTTCCCACCTGCTCGAAGAACTCATCCATGAAACGGTCTCGGTCCACGCTGACAGTGACATCATCATCATCATCGCTGTCCTTGGCCTGGACAGGGTTGAGCACATGTAAGTGGCCATGTGTGGGACCTCCAGGATCTCAGACCCTGACCCATCTGTGCACACAGGCACACACAGTGAGCCTATTTAGCCATTTGCCTCCCTCCTAAGGGCACCTTGGGCAGAGACAAGGACTGACTTGGGCATGCCAGGCTCCCAGCCACAGTCAAACACTGAAGATCTCCAGGCACCCTGGCATAATTAGCGAGGATCTGTCAAGTGGGTGACACAATATTGTCCTCTCCCAGTAGCTGTGGAGCTTGCCCCCTCCCTCACCCTGAGACTGAATCAGACCAACGGATTGCTGTCTGAGTTAACTGAACCTCAGGATCCTCTGGGTACCCAAATTTTCTTGACACAGATCCCCATGGCTTTCTATTCTCCAGACTTAAAGGTCTTTGTTTTTTGTTTGTTTTTCAGAAGGGTCTTGCTTTGTAGCCCAGATTGCCCTCAAATTCCTGATCTTCTTGCCTCAGCCTCCTGACTGCTGGAATTACTGGTTTGTGCCATTATGCCTGGCTCTCAAGGGTCTTAAAATGGAGCTCAGGCAGCTGGAGAGATGGCTCAATGGTTAAGAACACTGGCTGCCTTTGCAGAGGACCTGGGTTTGGTTCCCAGTACCCACATGATGGCTAACAAATGTCTATAACTCCAGTTCCAGGTGATCTAATGCCCTCTTCTGACGTCTGAAGACACTGTACACATGGTGCACATACATACATCAGGCAAACACTCATACACATAAAATAAAAATAAACCTTTAAGATGGAGCTCAGAGTTTCCAAACCCTGTAGGCCCCTGTAGAGGGAGGCCCACCTGTTCTATCCCAGGTCTATCCCAGGCCTTGGCACCCTGCCCCAGCAGGTTGGAAGGTTCAGACATGGGGCAATCGCCACAGCACCCCAACTGGTGAGATGCTATCTGTGTGTGGCTTGCTGGGAGTCACATTGACCCACTTGGTGCTCTTAAAGCTCATCTTTCCCTTGTGAGTCTTTGTTCTTAATGTTGTTTAATTTTTATTTATTTTATAT